CAAGCACCATGTTTAAAAATTAGAGTCATCTGACTAACGATATTGCTTTAGGATATGCCCTAGGCCTCACATGCATGATTGTTTTATTCTCATTGAAAATTCTCTTTGCCCAGATGGAAACAAGAATACATGTACTTCCAACAGGTTCAGCTCAGTGTCTCTTCCATAGTTGTCCAAAGAGACCCTCTTCAGAACAGCAAGGCTGCCCTAATGAACAACGTCATTTCCTTTGCCTTGGTTCACGTCCCTGATGTGATAAAAATTTTGTGAAATGTGAGATTTTTACCAAATGCCAGGAATGATAGGACTTCCTTGTATTTAACCAAAGTGCCCTTCACTTCGACTCCTAGCGTCACAGTGTGTTTGGTATTTTGTTCTTGATGAACAGACTCTAAGGTGGAAAAAATTTAATTTTTATTTTATTTTTGAATTTTTCTGGCTGGTAAGTTGTTTGGAACATAAAGCTACGGAGCAGATTAAACTTCTAAGACTTTGAAATGGAGAAAATTTGTGTAATGTAGACTATAGGGGCTGCTCTTTCAAAGAAGCTTTGCATGAATTCTTATAAATCCACTTAAATCTTTGCTCATAGGTAGAAGAAAATTAAATCCTCTGCTTTAAATGATTTGACTGTGTAGTGAAACGATTTAGGTTCTAACTGTATTCTTTCCTCTTAATGAAGCTAAATTTACTTTAGGGAGGGAAGGGGCAAGGGGGAAAAATGAGAACCAAGACCTGTCATGTAAAGGTACAAGATCCCAATAATGAATGTAACTGTACTGTATACCTAAAATGTACCAATAAACTCAATTAATTAAAAAAAATCAAAGAAATATGAGGCACTTAAAGCCAACTGGTAATACCACTTCCTGTATCTTATTTTAAATAAATAAATGTTCATCTGCCAAGCGGTTATTCTGCTTCATCAACAAAGTACACACATGAATAGCAAAAGTTATTAGCATAATCCAAATGCTTGCAGAAGGCCTCTGGAATACCTAAACTTTAAAAAGCACACTACCAAGGACTTGGAAAGAATCTCAAACTCCAAGGCCAAAGAGTCTATTGCATATGAATCTTCGTTATCAGAAAAGTTGATTGGGGCACTAAAGACAAAAATAGGCCTATTGTGCAAGAGCAGAAAACAATGGCCTAGGAGGCTCCATGGCATGGTGGAAGGATGCTGTGATACTAACTGCAAGAGATCTGGCTGTCACCAATCAGCTCTGAATCCTTAGGTAGGCACCTCAACCCTCTGAACATACATTCTTCCCATTTGTAAAAGGAAGTGTTGAAATGTGTTTTTTTCCAGGGTTTTTCCATGACAAACAGAAACTCTGAGGAGTTCTGTGACTTAACAAAGGTGGCAAAGTCCAGAATAAGAGTTAGGAAAACTTCTTAAACTTATAACTGGAGTTCTGCCTTCCAAGGGGACTTCATTCTTTTAAGTCAAAGCATGCATGCAGATTCACCCAGCTGTTACCCTGGAAAGAACAGAGTAAATATGTTCTAACTCACACAAAGCCTAATGTGTTATTGTTAAAAACCGCCACACATAATTAGAAATTTGGTAATTATTCTTTGCTTTCATCATCTCATTTATAAGCTACATAATTCCCACACCTTCACTAAGCATCTTCTTAAGATTAACATTATGAATATGGGGGAGGATTTAAACAAAAGAATGTATTTAAGATGAGAAGTCCACTGGGTATGAAGGGAATCTATGATTTCATATTACCCTCAATTTTTCCTGACACATATTTTGAAATTTTCTGCCGGTTCCTACTGTCACTGCTAGAACACAAGCGCATTCCTTTCTGCACACGTTGTGCAGTGTCATCAGCCTCCAGAGCACACACTGAGAGACTGGGTCAAGAGCTCTCCTGAGGAGACAGATGAAGGCTATGAAGAGGTGGAAGAGGTTGCTTCTGGCTCTGTAAAGCACAGTGTATAACCAATGCACAGCCTCACCATTTCTAGACTTAATGTAAAGACAGTAAAATTCACTCTTCATGCACTTACATTTAGTCCACTGTATTAGTGCAGCCTATGTCTATGCAGTTTACTATGTTTTAAGAATTTAGTTACTACCAAGCAACAGTAAATAATATATGTAATACAAAGCCAAACCTAAAATTTTAGCCTTTTAGGCAAAAAGGAGTACTAAGTTCTATCATTTCAAAATGATTGTGCAGTAATATCATTATATATAGGGAATGTATGCCTGTGTGTGTAATTAATCATTATAGATCATTTTGATATACTAATTTACAAGAGTTTTAGGCTGGGAGTATAACTTTGGATTAGAGTATTTACTGAGCATATATGAAGTCCTGGGTTCAAGCCCCAGCACTACAAATAAAATAAAATAATAAAATATACAAGAACATCAGAGTTGCACAGATTTGAGGGAAAAATCAGTACCAGAATAACTTAATACAGTCGAATATAGAAGTTATACAAAACTTTAATGCTTTCTTTCCAAGCATTTTATAAACATTAAGCTTTCTTAATTACTGCCACATTTTCCTTTTTTTTTTCCTGAACAAATCAATTTTTCAAATGCAGTAGGAACTGTAGCCCTTATTTTTATCCTTCATACAAGATGCTATTAGGGGTCACTTCTTCCCATGTATGGAGAAAATAATCTTCATGGATAATAATGATAAAACCTTATGGAATGCAAAAACAACCAAAATATGTATTCTCGGATGACTGCATTAGGGCCAAGTCAATATTAGTCCCACTTCACCCACACAACATAGTCTAAAAATGCTGTCAGCCTGATAAGAATTTCCTAATTTACCCTTTTCTCCAATAGAAGATACAGGTCATCAAAATAAACTCCTGACAGTAAAAGAACATCAGTCACGTTGCCCCCACTGTTAAATCTCTCCTTTACTAGCCAGACAGTTTCTTCATTAGATTAAAACAAAGAAAAATTTTGAATAAGCTATTTTAATAAAAGGAATATGAAAAGTTTCAAGTACACTTCTCAACTAAATTCTTATGGTGCACTCAGCCAAATATCTACTTGGGCAATGTCTACAGAAGCCCAAAATATAGCAGGAGTTGCTCATTGTGGGATTCATCAGTACAGACCATTCAAGTTTTCTTTTTGTTTTTTTGTTTTTTTTTTGTAATAAAAAGCTAGCTGTACATTTTATTGATAGCTTTAAAAGAATAGAATTTGGGAGCCAAGACTCAGGGCTATTGCAAAATTAAGATTAAGTTATTTGGAGTCATTTCTAACTGAAAATCAACTTTTGTCATCGGTGATTTGACATTTTTCTGAGTTTTATTCTCTGGCTTATTAAAAGTATTACAATATTGATTCCCCACCATAGATTCGTATTTTAATGGAATTAATTTTTAACTCCTAAAAAAAAGAGAAAAAAATCTTACTTGTAACTACTTCTAGTGTATTAGTTTTTTAAAAAGGGGGGAAGTATGTTTCTGAATATTTAATATTTTCTGAATAGTAAAATCTGAATCTGCTGCTCATCCACATTCTAACTGATAACTGAAGACCTCCACAGTCTCAGGGATGGAGGTGAGCATTCTGCATCCTGCACTGAGTGTTAATATTAGTGGTATGTTTGGCTCACTTGCCTGCCTTGAACCTGCATGGTTTTCTCCATTACTTATATTTTGCATACGCCAGAGAAAAATACACAGATCACCCAGAATGCTTTCATCAGTCACCCTTGACCACAAGTTACAAAATGTTCTCCTGTCCTCCTCCTCAAAAGCAATAGGAAGCTGCTGAATATTAAAGAAAATACATAAGCAAATAACACCAAAGTATGGCCCTTTCCTCTTTTGCCCTACCTGGTCTTAGTTTACTTGGTACTATTTAGCAGCTGAGTCTGGTCTGCATACCATTGCCAATTAATGTGAATTTCACAGCTCCTAACTTTTAAACAGAAAGTTATGATGTATTTCCAAAGAGCACAACTACATATGCCAGAGCCACAAGGAAACAACAATGATAAAAGTTCTGTGGATGGTAATTTCTTAACTATATCTAGTTGTATTTTTAAGTCTTATGAAATCAAACCACCCTAATGTAATCCCTATGGTTCAGTTCTTTGCACAAACAAAATACATTTCTTCTAGTGTCATGCTAACTAAACCTTAGTGTACTTTCTGTCGTGTTCAGAGAGTAACACCCAAGAGCACCTAATACCAAGTTCTCCAGAACTCTACCCTGTCTTCTGAACTAACTGCACTATCTCCTAGATCCCAGCCACTTTTTATGGACAACGTTTTCAGTTTCTTGTCATGGTGGACGCCCAGCATCCAGAAATTCAAGGTAATTTCTAGGCTGGGGAACAGGAGGTCAACAGATTGAACACTTCCTATAACAAGCCCTGTGCTTGATTGGATTAGAAAATAATTGAAGAACGCTGGCATCCCTGTCCTCTAAATCACAGTCACAGGGAGAAAAATCACAGAGAAGTTCTAAAAACACTCGGAACTACATTTTTCATTAGTGTTCCACCTTTGTCCCAGAAAGGTCATTTTGTGGGCTCACTGTTCAGGCAGCCTCTGCTACCCCTTCAGCACAGTTCATACTCAACTCAGAAAACCCCCAAACATTCTACCTTTCTAAAGACACAAAATAATTTGGTTTAAAGGAAGTTTACTCACACAGTCCTCTAAGCCAGATGCCCTTGGAGAGCTTCAGAGAACTGAACTCTAAGAGCCAGCCAGGGTGTTTATGAGGAGCAACCCCTGAGCTCGGGGGCGACAACAGCTCATTGAAGCCCCCAGCCAGGTAAAGCCTCTCATCGAGTCCCCAGCAGTCACCCTGCTGCTTTGCCTTCCCGAAGCCTCTCCTCCTCGTACCCGAAGGCTCTGCTCAAGGGCGCTCCCTCAGGTCCCAGAGCATCCTTCGCGCCACCCGTCCTGCCACCGCGTCGCCGGAGCCCCAGACCGATACTCTCGGTGCCCCTCGCCCCCGCCCCAGGCAGGCTGCCCGGACGGTGACTCACCTGCTGGCCAGGTTGGGGAGCCGGCTGATAGCAGGCTGTGGGGCAGGTTGCAGCTGCCACAGGGTTGGGCAGATACTGGGGCGCTCCATACGGCTGGGGGTGATACATCACCTCCGCACAACTCATGGCAGCAGGGGCAGCGGCGGCCCCCGAGTCGCCGCCGCCGCTCTGCGCGCTGGCGCTAG